AGAGAGAGAGAGAGAGAGAGAGAGAGAGAGAGAGAGAGAGAGAGAGAGAGAGAGAGAGAGAGAGAGAGAGAGAGGTGAAGTAGAAACAAAGGGTAGTAGGGAGGGAGGGGAGAGATAGCAGTGGGGGGGATTTGCGCGGTGACAAATATAGATAGACAGTCAATCAGATAGAGAAAAAGCAATTGATGACAGGGAAAAAGAGGAGACATCAAGAAACCTTACTCGACCTTCGTTGCTTACGAGATTGACCTGATAACGTACAGTATAGACCGAGCCTCAGATGGGGAAACAAAAAAAAGAAAAAAGAAGATTGACCAGGTTAACGTACACGATAGACCGACCCTGACGTCAGTTTGACGGCATGTGATTCCCGTCATCTAAAGAGTCAAATGTATTATTTTTCTCATGAACGGTCTTTTTTCCCCTCCTTAGGGGTGAGTGTCAAACAGGGAAGGTGTCATGGGGGCATGTACGAGAACGGACGTAGCGGATGTGCACGTGGAGGGATTGCGTTGCAAAACTAAGATTACTGCCACGTGGAGTGACTGCTTACTTGCGCATAGGAATGTCGAACGGTCACAGGAACAAGACAATCTGCTCTCTCTCTCTCTCTCGCTCTCTCTCGGTTTTTCTGCCTCGTTTGCTTACCTTCCTCCTCTCCTTTCCGTCATTCCCCATGCCTGTCTCCTCACCTCTGAATTGCTACATTACGCTTCTCTCTCTCTCTCTCTCTCTCTCTCTCTCTCTCGCCCCCCTGAACTCTCCGAACTCTCGTCCCCCGCTTTCCCCGCCATTAGTTTGTGCGAAAGACTGACCAGGCCTGCGTTACCTGTTGGGTCGGGATGCCATGTCGCATACCGGCGCAGCGATGGAACCGAGATCACGGAAGATCCCAGTGTAGCGCTGCCAACGGAAGTGTCGCTGTCAAAGACGAGTCGAATAAGTGTCCGAATCTGTACGTGTTCCACGCAGAGATGCAGACACCCAGATCAATCACAGTTTCTTGCACCTCTTGACAAACACGTCCAGATTCAGACACTTGTTCCAATACTCTTTGCCAGTGGGATCTGGCCCTAAGGACCAGCGCTTGGAGCTCCACCAAATGAGGGGGGTCCACCAGAAAGTCCGACTGCCGGCGCATAGGGGGTCCACCAGACTGTTCGACTCCTGGCTCTCCGCGCCGGACGCACTTCTGTTTAGAGGGACTTTTTAGAGGGAAACGGACGCGCCTGCCAGTAAGGGCCAGGCCCCAATACAGCACCGGTGGTGCCTGGGCCTATCCGTCGGAAGGCAGGGGTCAGGGGTTCGCCTCCGCCCGCCATTGTCGCCTCGTTGAGGCAGGACCGTAAAAAAAAGGAAAAATGGCTATACCCAGTCCCGGTGCCAACGTGCGTCTACACCCATAAAAAGGCCGGTGGAATTGCTTGCATGCCCAGGACTGAGGTGGACCCAGGTTGGTACCGCGACATGGCGGTTATAACCAATTATAACCCACTACCGGAATGGTCAAATTATGGACATACCCAGGCAAAATTATGTGCATACCCAAGACCTGAGGTGGACACGCCAATTTATTCATATGCCCTGCTACCGGATAGCTGAAACTGTGCTCATAGTGATCGGAAAACGGGAGGGAGGAGGTCAGGGCTGAGGAGCGTTACCAGTAGCGCTAATCAAACTGCTAATCTCGTCTGCATCAGCTGCGCTTAGTGCTCATCGGGTTTTAGGGTTAGGGTTAACGCTAATCTGGGCGATGACCACGCGTTCCATTTTGTTGTGAATAAGATAATGGCGGCAACTATGGAAGATTAGTCGTTTCACACACGTTAGCGCGGTTTGCCATATCCTCACTCCTCGTGTGCTCCCCCCCTAACCCCACCACTCTTCTATCTCGTCTATCTTTCTACGCTCTGGAATTGGTCGACATAGGTGTAGACGTTGGTTTTGCTTATTTTCCCTACAGTATTGTGGCAATCCTCTCCTACTAATACAGTAAGGAGAAGGATTCATGGTTTGGTCGGGGGAAGGTCGGAGTGGAGTGGAGGGTTAGACACAGAAGGGTGGTGAGTGAACTCGGGGCGGGAGAACGTTTTTCGCTCTCCCTCTTCGCCAACTAGAAGACACCAAGAAGACAGGTCCGGTTTACTGGATGGAAAAATCCAAAAGCCTTCCTAATCTACTCTCCATGCGACAGGTGTAATTTCCTTCGGCTCGTTAAGTACTAAAAACACTAATTCATGAGGAGTTGGAGTTCATTGAGTACCTACTCGCTAATAGTGCTTTTAGTTGCTATCAACTTCCCTTACGAGGAGGGCTTCCAAGGCAGGTTCAGTAAATGAAGTCCTTACTTAAGAAGAAAAATGAAGAATATGGGATATCTTAAGCGAATGCTATAACACGGGAATTTTCCCGGATTGCTTGTCTCCTCAAGTGGTTGAAGAGGGACCAGACTTCATAAGAGTCGTGGTAAACAAGGAAATATATAGCATCCATACAGACTGGTTAAGGTCCCATGTTGTCTCAGTTCACTTCAGAGACCACACCACCTCGCTTTTCGTCTCGGTGAAGAATCGCCTTGTAGGCATATATGAGGATGGTTGGGCCCGATCCAGAGAGACTGGTGCTCCTCCTAAACAGGGGTCTTTTGAAATGAGGGAAAAAACCTAGTTAAGTATGTGGCAAGTGCTAAAGAGATAGCAGCTTGGATGATCCATGAAGGATCAAGTGATGTCGAGTTAGCCAATCAAAAGTACACAAAAACCTTCAACCCATGGATGTTTGATTTTGAATTGGAACAGTGGAGGGAATCGATGGAATTTGAGTGTTTTTTTATTCGTTTCTTGCAAGTGCCGATTATTACTCTCCCCCACCTACAAAAGACAGTAGAGAAATCATTGGGCAAAATTATGAAATCACACAATGCATTCCGCGACCGTCAAGCTCCGGATCTCTGGAATGTGACATTCGACGTAGTAATACCCTCTGCTATCTTCGATACAATCGCCGGGTAATCGTAGATATGGAGGCTGATGGCTTCACTGAGTTGCGAATGATTTGCGGAACTACCCCTTGGTGTAGGAACTGCCAAGGATATTTTCACTTAGAAGAGGATCCGAACTGCCCGATAAAACTTTGTGCAAGCGGAAAAAGGCAATTCATCCCGCAAGACAACTCCTCATACCGATCAAACAGGGAAGCGATGGAAAAATCCTCCTTTCGATCTTTGCCAAGAGCCAATGAACCAGCTGCCGAGAAACCGGTGATCCCTCACGAGAAAGTGTTGGAACCAATCACATCTCAACAGCAACCCTTACCCACGCAACAAAAGACTCTAGGTAGGAAAAAACTGTCAAAACGAAAGAAGGTCAAGAAAGATCCTTTGCGCTCGAAGTCTTCCTCCTCATAGGTCGGGCCAACCGACACACATAAGAAGGAAAAGATGTCGGGAAAAGACATCGAAAACAGAAGAGAAGATCGCCCGAAGGGATGGGGACGCCAACAAGGAGAAACCTACAAACGATACGTCCAAGGAAAAGGCAAAAGAGCCGGAAGGGATGAGAACGAAGGAAGAAGTGTTGAAAGGCGGGTCGAAAGACATTGACCCTCCTCCCCCCCCCCCTGATGGCTGGTGAAGGGAGCAACCTAATCGGACTCCCCGATGACTTCTCAACAAGAATGGAAAAGGCAAACCTTGGATTCAAACTGCAAAGGTAAAACGATGCAAAAGTTAACCTTCTCACAACCCGTAACCTCCCCACCAAGACACATAAGGAGTTGATAAGGAAGGTCAACCTCCATCTCCTCCATTAGTGGACAAGGTGATCAAGGACAATGGAGGAACCACCTTCGCTTTCCAAGCTCATAAGCTTATACTAGACCCTTCCCGAAGCACAAAAAATACTAAGATTGAAATAAGGAAAGGGGAGGGAGGTCTGGTGAGGGAGGATAACAAGAGAGGTTGCAGAGCAGGTCTTGATGGCAATGTGATTGCAAAGAAAGTCCGACTAGACCCTAACCAAAACGCTTGTCGACTGTTCGCAAAGGAACAGGAAGATGCTCAACTATCTATATTGGAATGCGGTCGTGCAAAGAAAAGGAACCATGGTATGCACGTTGTGAAACCTTCACTTAGCTTCTCAGCCCCCCTGGCTACCCTCTCTAGGAAGGAGAAGAGGAACATCAACTTTAAAAAGTTTGTCATTTTTATGATTTGCGTGAACACCGGGTAGGGTACCCATGTCTTATCCATTCGAAAGGATGAGGCGTTGGAGTTACTCTGCTCCTCGATGAAAGACCCACTTTTGGAAACACAACTCATTGAGGATGTTTTACCGTGACAAGACTTTTTCAAGGGACCGTCTTCATGTTGTAGTCTGGCCGTCCTCAAAGCGGGTCGTCACATAATAGCTCACCCGGATGGCTACACGGTAATGCTACATGTCTGTTTCTTAAGCCTGTCAGCCTTCCAGGGTTCAAAACAACAGTCGCTCGACTTGAATCTGTATCGGGTCCCTCTACAATCTTTTCTGTATTCGGGGGATGTTTCTCTTTTAGACATCCACATCGGCAAGAAGGCCTCAGCCCAAGATGTGTCAATGCAACCAATTTTACAACACAACTCCATCAACCGAATAGTGATATTGGCGTATATGATTGTTGCATCCAAGAAGTCGGCGGCTCATCCGAGATTGATGGTCTTACCAAAGAAGGTGAGACTTCAAGTTGCAACCTGGAATATTCGTGGTTTTGGATATACTTCGAACCGTTGCAAAAAGGTTGAGCTGACAACCATAATCTACTCAAATAGCATTCAAATTATATGCATGCAGGAAACCAAGCTCGACCAAGCGAAAGTTCAAGAAACCTCCTCATGGTGGAAAGGACCACAATTCCGGGCCCCGAATGAGCACCAAGGGGAGTACGACAATATTGATTTACAAAGACTTGGATGTAGAAATATTGAATTTTTACCTAAACAATGAAGGAAGATATAAGTAAAATTCTCCTTGGGGGATGAGAATTAGGCAGAAATGTTTATTTATGCCTTCGTAGACTATAAGAAGTGCACCACCTTTTTTTCCCTACTCCCTTCAGTAATCCCTAACGTAGAAAATTTGGTGATTGTGACCCTTATGGGTGACTGGAACACGACCCTAAACCCGGGCTTGGACTCCCCCAATGTAACCCCCATTAGGGAAGATGCGGTTATGGTTCTATCTCTAGCCGAGCCCCAAAGTTTGGTAGATGTATTCAGAGTTTTAAGCCCTGATAACTCAGGATATACTTTGCGCGACCCAAGATCAGCTCCACATGCTTCGATAGCTGAAAGGAGACTCAATTTTATTCTTGGTAGGGAATGTCTCTAGGATAGCTGCACCAGGTGCGAGCAGGTCCTAGAGGGCCTCTCACATCACTATCCGGTGTACATTGACATCCTGACCAAAGACCTGGTGGACACTTACCGCCCCCCCTTCCGGTTAAATACTAACCTACTAAAAGATAAGGGGATAGTCAATTGGATTAACGAACAAATGAGTGGATGGTTACTAAGTCCACAATTTTTATTCGAAAATTAACACACATAGGCGGAAACAGACCAAGGAATAGTGCAGGCTGCCCTCATCACCTTCTCGATAATGAAAGCAGCTAGGAAGTCTTGAAAAAAGAAATGTTGTAGGAAAAACATCGAACAGGAATAGTGTATTTCTGGTATGAAAAAAGAAGACGCCTATTGGGGGAACTAGAGGCCTTGGAAATGAAAAAACGGCGAGAATGGCTACACTGGCTAAAACTAAGAGGTATCTTAGGCCATGACAAAATGACAGAAATCACTTTTCGTTCCCTTATTCTGAAGGATGCTAGACCTCGAGTGTTGGAATTGGCCCACCTATCCCTAACACACGC